TTTGGTATACGCTCTTCTTCGAGACGGGAGAGGAAATCTTCGAGCTTTTGCATCGTCAGATCGTTGTGAAAGTTGTCACCAAAGGATTTCAAAAGCATAGAGTAGCTTTGTGGCTTGAACTCCAAGCTTAGTTCCGATGGGGAAGCCATACACAATATAGATAATATACAGATATCTATATATATATGTATATTCTTGTCACACTATCTGCGTAAGAATCAAGAAATTCGTGGATTGTTTGACAGTTTTTTTGGATGGTCAGAATTAGGGTTTGATGGAGCAAGTAGGGAACATAAGCATGTGAGAGAGAAAAAAAACCAGGTCTTTGTTCTTTGTCTTTTTTAGGGTTTTCTGTGTTCTACAGAATTAGGGTTTGGAGAGGCTGAAGAGGCGGAGAAGAAGAAGAAGAGAAAGTGAAGAAATGTTAGGTTATGAACACAAGAAGGATCACGAGGAGGTTCTGCCCCTTTTTAGAGGACTGAGTTCGAAGGAGGGGAATAAAGTGGAGAGAGAGAGAGAGAGAGAGAGAGGGAGAGAGAGAGAGGTTTAAAGAGAGATTAAAGGAGAAAAGGAGAGAGGATAAAGCATGAGCAGAGGGGCCGTATGGAAACTTGTTGTAAAGAACAAACAGGTAAGAAAAAGTTATAACTTAGAACCATCTCAACGAATTTAGGGTGATGTGTTTTTTTCTTTATATAACGAGGTAGAATCTCGGATTTAAAATAGCCACTTGAATACTCGAAATATCAAAGAGGAACTTTTACAGTGGTGTTCTTGAGGAAACTAATTAAAAAATTAACTGATGTTGGATAAATCATGTAATATTTTTCATGGGAGAATTAGATAAACAGTCCATAAGATAATATTTAAAATTCTTTGAAATTAAACTACTAAAGTACAAAACTATAACCTTACAAGTTACAACTAATTCTAGGTTAAAAACTAATCCCTAATATAGATGGTGCCAAAAAGAAAAATCATAATTTAAGTATAATTATAAATTCTACTTTCCAAATTATAAAAATGGTTTTATTAAAAATTCTTAAAAGAATTTATTTTAAATTTGTTTAACAAATTTACTATATCAAACTCTCTCTGTTGATATTGCTTAATGGCTCAAAAATTACCCAAATATACAGAAAAAATGAGGAACATGCATTATCCCTTGAAGGAGAGAGAAGAAAAATATGCTTTTAAAAATTAAATTTTGCATAGATTTCACAATTCACAAAAGAGCTGCACAAAAGTAATTATCTCGTGCATTGCATTTAGGACTCTGTAAAATTCAGGTATCAAATCTGTAAAAAAGGATGATTTTTTTTTTTCACACAAAAGTTCGGAGTGTATGTATCTCTTATTGTCATTTTCACATTTTATTAGACTATAAATATAACTTTGGTAATTTTCCTATTTAGGATAACGTGTAAAAAAAATAAAGCTGGCCATTGAAGTTGGGTATATTTTGAGTTTAATAATTAAATTAAGTGAAATTTGTTTCGAAAATAATTTTAAAAATCAAATTAATTGGATTTTAATTGAATTGAATATAAAAACAGGAGGTGGCTGGTTGCAAAGCTACCATCTGCAAACGAAACGGTTTCAGTTTCTGGTGATTGCACGCGATTGGAAAACCAACTGGTGGAACTGCAGTCAATCTCAACCGCAACAAAATATATGATTTTGAATCGCAACTCTATACTTGCATTTTGGTAGCGGTTCGTAGCGTTTAAATAAAAAAAAGTAAAAATACCCTTTTTAAAAAAATATTTTTTAATAATAAAATTACTTTTTTACTTAAAAATAAATCAAATTGATGAAATTTATAATTAAATTTTTTTTATTTATTTTATAAATAGTTTTTTTTTCAAATGATAATAAAAAATAATATTTTCAAAAAATATATTAAAATCATGGTCTTTTTGGTATTTTTCATCAAACCTCAATCGCAACCATATGCAATCTTTCGCTTCTAATTACAACCGTATGTAATCACAGTCAATAATAAATATCAACCAATCAGTACTAACCGTCCACAATCGTCAAAAAACGTACTAAAAACACCGATATCCACAACCGCAAACGCAACGGTACAATCAGTCGGGTCCATAATAAAGATTACCGAATAAAACAAAAAATTTCTTAAAATAAACCAAATGCAGGATATAAAAGAGGCTGAGAAATGAAGAGAATGCCCTAACAATGGTTCAACAAAATGCAGGATAATGTAATTAGTGCTTTAAAATTTTTAGATGTAAAAAAGTTTGTATTTTCGTTCTGCCATTGTTGGGCATCCATATTTTTTTGAAGTTTATTATAAATTTCATTTTGTTTAGATTCAATTACAACTTAGTTCGAATTGAATCCATTGAAACTAATTAAATATTTGATTTGATTAGGTTAGATTCTTTTATTTGTTTAGTTTCTGATAATTTAAATTTAGATTAATTGTAAAGAAAAGTAGTTAAAAGTTGTATGTTACTTAAATGATTTTGGTATAACGTTTTGATAAAATAGATGGTTTGACGAAAAATTTAACGATATAGTGTTTTAATATTTTACTATAAAGTATTAATGTTGTAGTATATCTCCGTATTCGTCCTTAGATTCCCTTATTTTATACAATTATATGCTGGAATATAACACGGGTTTTATGGCGAGGGACAGCTAAATTTTTCATAATTATATACAAATATCTAAAGCCATTTTCAAATTTTTAATATAAAATTCTCTCTCTTTTTTTTTTAGAAAAGTAAAAAAAAATTACTTTTTAAAATGTTCCATAAGGAATCATCACCGCCATACATGAAGGAATCAACGGTGAACGTTTGACGCGTTTAGCTCACCAATTGCTTTTCGGGAAGTCATTACCCTAAAGTTAAATATTCTTTGATATCTCTTAAAAACATTTTCTTTGATTACATATATACAATCACACACATACATACATAAATACATACATATGGTTGCCGCCGATACATACGTAATATATGTTCATATATACATATACGTAATATGAAATAGATTTCCTGACTGTACAATAGTAAATAGGCACAAATATTCACACATATACAAATGTGTGCGAGAGAAAAGAACTCAGATTCTAGATATGTGAAAAAGCATATGGTAGGCAAAATATTTTCATTTCTAGAGAGAGAGAGAGAGAGAGAGAGGCTTAAATTAGGATCAGTCCATATCCACCATGCAACCTTTTTTGTGGTTACAAAAGCTGAATAATTATTCTAAATTTTAGTGCATTCAAAGAGAGGAAAAAGGGAATATTTGATTTTAGCAATAATTAAGTAGGAGAGATATTCACTTAAATAATATAATATTTTGCCTCTAAGCAAGGAATATCTGAGTTCCAACACCGGTGACTCCATAGAATAAAAGACAACATAAACAAAAAAAAAATCTTAAGAAAAGAGTCACGACCCTCTAAAAGTTATCATTATGTAAACATTTGGTCTATTCAATTATTCATTTTAATCGGTTTAAAGTTACGAATATTTGAAGAAACTATTAAAATTTATGTAGTATTGGATCTTATAATTGTAAACATATATTTTCAAAAACGTTTATACTATTCTTAGAAAACAACTTTAAACTTATGATTTTTAATATAACCAAAATTATGATCAAATAACATCCAAGTAATATTATGACGTGTTAATTATTTAAATCGTTAATAACATTATTTAAGCAGTAGAAACTGTTATTGTAATAATACACTAGATGGATTTTAGGAAAAGTAACATATTTATGACATATTAAATTATTATTGAAATCTAAACCCTAAAAAGAATAGTAAAGGAGGCCTAATAAGAGCCCAAGAATCTTCTGCTACCTACTTTAGTGAAGTGGCCAAGAAGGTAAGGAGATTCTTCTTTTGAAAATTTTGCATTATTATAAGATGCATTTTAATATTTTCCTTTTGAAATAGTTAGTATTATTCCAAGAACAAATAAAAATAAAATAAAAAGAATCCAAAAAAGCTAGTTTTATTGAGCATCTCGGCTTTGGATGTTCGGATCTCGATTTGACCCATTTATGTGGTTTACAGATCCAATTGGCTATCAACACATTTAAGGCTATTCGTGAATGTTGGTTTTTGTTTGACTTTACTAGAAATGAAAATATTTTACTTAATTTTTTTAATGATGATTTTTCGGTTCGAATATATAAGATCGAAATGAATGTAGAAATAATTGAAAAAATAAATATTTTTAATAAAAACAAATAAAAAAACGAAACATGTTAGACTGCATCCTATCTATACTTGTTTAACGAACGGTAAGAAAAAACGTTCAATACATGTTTGGTTATAAGAAGCTCGAGAATACGTTTTTACTAAAAGGAAAACCGATAACGTCACACGTGTGAATCTTTCCATTCGTGAGTTTATCTAAACGGATGCTAAGTTTAGAGAACATTCTATTAACCTTAGAAGAACATTAGGGTGGATATGGGTGACCGAGGGAGTTTTGTTATAACACATATGTAAGAATAATGGTTATATTATAACATATGTAACTCACGTATTCATTCATCCACATACTCGGATGCGGATGCGTTATTTCAAGTCTATGACAAGACTCTTCGCCGTATTGGAGCTTCCTTCCGGACCACTAAGCCGGATCTCGCATCGGAATTGTTACAACGATGGTTTGGATAATTATGGAGCTGGTTAGGGTTTTGAAATTTGATTTCCTCACCTCTTTTGGTTCATTTTGTCGCGGGTTGATAACACTTAAAGCTCGCAAGGCCTTTTCTCGCTATTATGGCTTTTACCATATTTTTAAAAAGAGGAAAACGCGATATGTACATTTTTTTTTGTTAAACGGTAAATTTGTATATATGTACGCTGCCCAAATACAGAAGAGAATTCCGAGTTACATCACAATTAGATACGCAAAATCAAAAGCGGATTACAATCGGTCAAAGTAATGGAACCAAATACTCAGCATTGAATCACCGTCAGGATTAGCCATGAAATCAGGTCGAAAGGATGATATTTTACGTCTAGTATGTGTGAGAATATCCTTAAGGATAACCTCTGCCGGCCTAGGAGACGCGCCATGTGCCCTGCAATTTCGTTCCAGCCATATATAGTACACAGATGCTTGAAAAAATAGTAGTACCATGATTCTCAGAAGCCTGCAGGTAGTACAAGTCTTCAACCATGACAGGGTCTCCAAGAATGTAGTTAGGAACGGCGGGCGAATGGGCGATTGAGCTAATCCCCGCTGCCAAATTCGGGAGGAGTACGAGCAGACAAAGAAGAGGTGGTCGACTGACTCTACGCCAACTTGACAGAGTAAGCAGTTGCTTGGTGAATTCCTTCCCCAAGAGATTACCCTGTCACGAGTGGGTAGCCTATTTCGAGCCACCAGCCAAGTGA